AATAAAATACTCTTTTCCTAGACTTGCATGTCTATTTTGCGGTGATATTAGGCTATTTAGCCAATAAGTTTCTTCTATATTTTAATAGTTAAATAAATTTAAAATTCAAAAAATGTTGTAGATACTGAATGTTTTCTATACACTTACGCATCATTAACTTTACATATACAGATATACTAATTACAAACCAATTAAGAGACAGACGAAAGCTATTTAGTAGATTTTATATTTTATTTACTGACGAAGCGATTTATGAGTTCAAATTCTGCTCCCAAGGATCATTAACTTCATGTAGAAATCTCAACTTTTAAAACCAAAAACTAAAAATGCACACGTGCGACGTTTGTATGAATTCGAACTTTCGAAGTTCACATAGCTAAGTGGTTTATACTTCATATATAGATGAAGTTAAAAATAGTCAAAGTTTCTGCATATGATATAATAATAGTCAAAGTTTTTGCATTTTGTGTCCCACACTTGCATACAAAATTAACATATGAAAGAATAAATAAAATTTATTTTGATTTCATAAATTTATACGTTATATAGATATTGGAGTTCATTGACTTCATAAATTCAAACGTTATAAGAATTAATTAATAATATATGCATATACTTCCTTGACTTCATAAATGCATACGTTATATAAATATTGGACTTTTATCATTTAATATGCGGAACGGTAATATGCAAAAACTTCGACTATTATTATATCATATGCATAAACTTTGATTATCATATACATAAACTTTGACTATTTTTAAGAATAATTAGCTTAGAATTCTCTTCTTCTATTATATATAAAAGCATTTTTAGCTAATTAGTCCTACAAATAGTCAAAGTTTTTGCATTTTACATTAAAAGTCTGAGAGCACCTCCATTAATCAAGAAACTCTAATGGGTTTTTCAAACATTTTTTATTAATATTTTAATATATGTAAAATTTGCTTTGTATAAAAAGTTAAGCCACTAATAAAATGACATATGTCGGAGAGAGTATATAATGGGGATTCTAAGAGTTTTTCAAATAAACTGTATCTCTCTTTCTATTTAACTTTTTCTTTAATTTATTTTGTTGAAATACTCTCTTCCATCCCACCAATGGAATTGTCTTAGTATTTATATATAACAAATTTTCTTAATTCTTTCGTACATTCATATTTAGTTTACAAAATTCTTATATATATAGAGCAACTTATTCAATTTCGTACCAAACAAACAAAAATTTATTCTCTCTTAAAAACTCAAATGTTATGGCAAAAATTATCAGTCACTTCGTATTTGCTCTTGTTGTTTTATCTTGTAGGAATATACACACCATAGCTTTGAATTCGAGATATCGTTTTTTCTTTCTTTTTTTGCAACATTGTTCAATACTTAAATCTTTCGCGTGCAGATTTTTCATCGGAAGCTAAAACATTTGAAAGAATACAGCCAGTACCAGCACTTTGTAATTGCACTGGTGATAGAGCACCTCAATGTGATTGTCTTCCGCCCACAAACCATCAAGTTCATACTACGTCAACAAGTAGTCCTAATGCCAACAATAAACAGTTAACGGGTTGCAGTGATAGCAATGAATGTAATTGATGTTAGTTGGCATAATCTCGGTAAAAATGTGGTTAGATAAATGTTTATTTTGTTTGACAAAAAAAAAATGGTTTATTTTAAAATATAATAAAATGATGTTTATTTCCATTTAACTAGTTTAGTTTCTTCTTATTCAATCGAGTGGGTGTATGTGTTTGAATTCTATGCAAAAAAAAGGAAAGAAAATTAGT